CGAGTACCCAAACAGTAAGGTTTTAGGTCCCCAAAACCACACTCTGAATGGTTTTTGGACCTTCAAAACCTACTATTTGGGTACTTGGACCCTTAGGGAAATAACCAACCAATAGAAAGAGTAATTCCCAATGTTGAAATCCTACGATGGGGGTACGGTCACAATCTTGTACAAACCAGTGTAGTGACTCCCCACCTAATATCGAAACCCCTTTTCTGTACCATGTAGGTATTCACTTCCTCATGTCGAAACCCTGCTTCCTACGATGCAGGTAAGGGTCCATGTACCCAAATAGTATATACATTGGCCCCAAAGTACTTATATAGGGACTACTTTAAGGCCAAAGTATGGGGGTTTCCGAAAATAGGGGACCCCAATATCGTACCCGAAATAGTAGGATCCTTATTATAAAGGCCCCAAAATATGGTACCCCTAATTTTCGGAAACTCCCGTATATCTATCTGGGCACATGGACCCTTAGGGTGAGGTCTTCTTGGTCAGTCACCCGGCTCTCCACGGGTCCCTGGCCTGTTCCATGGACTGCTGGATGAAGGCAGCACGCGTCTGCGAGGGGCAGCTTCGAATGCGAGAGTCGGTAGCCCAGACGCCAGTAACCCGAAAACAGAATGAGACCCTGGTTTAGGGTTTAGGGCTTCTGTCTCATTGATAAGCTGCTTCATCGATTTTCTTCATCAAGGGACATTGGGCTCTCCGTAGAGATATCAAGAACACTACGAGGACCGGGAGACGTTTCGAACCTGTCATGTATGCTAGACGTACGACTAAATCATTGCGCCTTCATCGAAACCTGTACATCGACACCAAGACCTCAACCAGGTACTTGCCACTGCGCTTGGGGACGGACGGAGATGGAAGGGAATTACCACGTAGTGGCTCCGGATGTTTTATCTTCGCTGGAGCACGTCTTTTGATACCCCTGCCAAGGACTCCTTCCTTGCAATCCCGAGAGCAAGCAACGCAGCACGGGAGACCTGCTACTGTAAGGGCTGCAAGATATACCCTAAGGATCCATGTACCCGGATAGTAGATATTTACTTCGGCCCTAAAGTACCTATATAATATAGGGGCTACTTTAAGGCCGAAGTATGTGCTACATGCGTGCATGGACCCTCAGCATAGGCAGTTCTCTGTACCAGGACCCCTTTCCTGGTCCCCAAAAGAGAGAGGGCCATTCTCATGACAAGGACCCTAGCATGGATCCCAACTCAAATAATTAATACGTCTTGGCTTGTCGTGCTTATCTAAACCCGAAACCCTGGAGCATAAACATACCCGTACATCTTGCCACTTATTTCTCGTCCTCCAAACCCTGAACCCTAAATGCGCAACTTGCTCTCGGCTTTTTCGAATTCTTTACTCCGGATGCCCTAAGCCTCAATCACCAATTGGTTTAGCGTGTATGGGGCAGGGTTTAGGGCTTAGTGGCAGAGTAGGGGCATCAGGATCAAGAGATTCAGCAGCTTTTCTTTGTCAGCGTGCTCTTGGACGCCGATCGGGCATCCGTGAAGGACGATTGGAGGCCAGTAAAAGTGTCGTTGTTGAGGAACAAATCGGAAGACCCCCCAAAGCCTTGACAACTTGAGCATCCCAGACTATGATTGTAGCATATTGCTCCTGCTCTTAAATGCTTCAGCATCTCATACATCCACAGTATATCTGCTAATGCTTTTGCTGTCACCGTCACTGGCCCCAGCTTTCGAAGCTTTGAGTTTGGAAGCTCGCGGCTGCGATCATCCTCGCTTTGATCCTTGACGGAGCTGTTGCCGCAGCTACCCATCGGCAGTTTTCCAAATTAGGGGTCTCCAAAAAAATACGTGACTCTTGCGCTGAGGCTCTAAACCGTAAGCCCTACTACGCCAACATTGTAAAACGTATAGACCCCTAACCCAGAAAAAAAAACACTGAAGTGACCCTGAATCCAAGAGCCCTTCACCGTCTCAGGAAGTGGTCGAGATCCGATGAGTCGACGTCTCTGGTCCTGGAGCATAGCACAGACTGGAAGATCCCATCTAGTGTAGGGGCCTTAATATTCGGGTTGAGGGTTTAGGGTTTGGGGTTTAGGGTTTTGGGTTTAGGGGTTATTAGAATAGGGTTTGGGGTATACTCTACTATAATTATAATAAGGAACCTCCAGAAACCTATTCTAATTATCAAGGCCCCTACATTAACAAGGTTTCGTTGTTCAGTAGGTTTAGGGTTTAGGTCCAGGGTTCAGGGCTTCCGGTTATGAAAGATATGTTTTAACACGCTTCCTTGTGGGTTTTGGGCTCAGGGTTTATTTAGACCCCTCTTCAGAAGTTTGTTTGTTCAATGGGCTTAGGGCGTGGGGTGTCAGCTTATGGCAATGTGTAGAATCAACAAGTTCTATGCGGGAGTCTACTCCCTAGACCCTAAACCCTAACATGACCATCCTGAGAATGCGTCTGCCTGTTTGATCCTATGCGTGAACTGGGCACCCTTGGTTCCAGAATGTTGAAAATCTCTTGCTGATATAATGAGAATGGGGTGGGGTTTGGGGGTATATGATACTGTAGTTATAGTAAGGAATCCCCACAAAAAATAGTATGGGTAATTATCAAGGCCCCGGTAGCTACGAAAAACACATTAAACTCCAAGCCATGCCTTAAACCGAAAGCTTCATAGCTGCCCTCGTAGTAGAAACCCTCAAGGTCACCTGTCTGGTGTTTTTAACCCCTAATCTCTCAACCGTAAACCCTAGACTCTGAACTCCGAACCCTAAACCCCAAACTCTAAA